ATGGAGAATACATCTAGGCAGTAATTAAGAATAAAGAAAATCAAATCAAATAAAATAAGAAAATAAAATAAAATAAAGAAAATCAAAGACGAAGGGCAGAGAGATTTTTATAGTTAAGTCCAGGGCTCATTTGTTAATGTGGCCTATCTGTTTTATGATGCTTCTTCCCAGAACATCATCATTCTATAAAATAGTTCGGTATATTTTGAATAAATCTCATCTTTTGCTGAAGCTGAGTCCGTTTGAGATGTTGCCACTTGAAATCCAAATAATCTTAACTCATACATACAGTCTCAGGGATGAGATGTTGCAAGTGACAGACCTGAGTCTGGGGAAAGGGGGGAAGTGGGAGGATTCCAAGACCCTGAGCCGAGCAGATGGCGGTCCTTACTCTATAACAGCAAAGCAGCTGGTGAAACTATCACTAATTGTCTTTTGAGTGCACACGATGCACTCACAAAATGTAGAGCAATGAGGACAAAAGATCAACATTTAAGGAAACTGGAGACTGTTGGCTAACTCTTAGAAACCGAAGTACGGTATTAAAAGGGAGGAAAAAAACACACGGCAACCTGGTCAACTTGAAAGCAGAGGAGAACCAATGGAGGAATATAAATTTGTTATGGGAAATGCTTTCTATCTCATGACTTGAGATTAATGAAAATCAGATAATCAAATAATGTTGTGAAAAGAGAATAAAACACATGATCCACTCTCCTAAGGGTGGAGACCAATTAGGAAATGGTAAATACTGGAAATGGGAGTGGAAAGAGATGAGAAAGCTGGTGACTCTATAAAGGCTGATCCTCCTTGTGTCTCCATGTACATCACACTTTCTAACTCCTACCCGTCAAAGAAAATGATGCTTCTAATTGGAAAGCAGTTTGCGAGCAGCTGTAAACTTTCTAGTGCACTTTAAACCGGTGCAGCCTCCTCCCTGTTGGGTCCATTCATGTTTTATTAGGTTGATAGCTGCAGAGAAAGAGCTCCCAGGCATAGGGTTTAAGAAGCAGAAGCCCAAGGGCCCAAATACAAAGAGCATGGGCTTGTCTTTCAAAGGTGGATAGAATTTCAGCAGACAGAGAAAGGAGCAGAGAGAAAGACAATGAAGTCTAAGGGCAGGATGGAAAATGCCAAATTTTGTAAAAGGAGCAGGTGATAATCTAGTAGGTTGGAGCACGGGGCACATGTGTAGAAGGGCATAGGAAATTAAAGCTGTCGGCAACATCCGGGGCTGTATAGTCTAGCCACTCAGAAGCCTCTTTCCTTATTTTTGGCTTCTTAGCTTCCCTTTTTATAAGCAAAATTCATGGTCTGGTCTGACTGCCAGACAAGTAGAGTGTCCCTGTGACTCCTGTTGGTTCTACAGTGGCACACCACCAGGCTTCCTTTACTAGATGACCCAAATTCCTCCCCCACTCCAAAAGATTGTTTCTATTTATTTGACACAGAGAGAAGGCACAAGCAGGGGGAGTGACAGGGAAGAGTCAGAGGGAGAAGCAGACACCCCGCTGAGCAGAGCGCCCCATCTGAGACTCCATTCCAGGACCCTGGATCATGACCTGAGTAGAAGGAAGATGCTTAACAACTTAGCCACCCAGGCACCCTAAGATCACCCAAATTCTTTTTTTTTTTTAAGATTTTTTAAAAATTTATTTATTTGACGGAGATTACAAGTAGGCAGAGAGGCAGGCAGAGAGAGAGGGGGAAGCAGGCTCCCCACTGAGCAGAGAGCCTGATGCGGAGCTCAATATCAGAACCCGGGGATCATGACCTGAGCTGAAGGCAGAGGCTTTAACTCACTGAGCCACCCAGACATCCCTATCACCCAAATTCTTAATGGTAAAATACATGCCCTACAAAAGAGCTTGAACTTTTCTTAATATATATAAACATAAAAATATAATTGGCTCAATCTCTCCTTCCACTACCCACTCCTCCCAACACCAGCAAACAAACATACAAAAATGAGTGTATTCAGATTACTTTTAATGCAATTAGACATGGAATCTTACCAGAAAAATATTTTTAAATGAGTATCATCGGACTTGCTCAAGAAACAAGTGTCAACTTGTTTATATGTACTGAATGTATGTATATAGCTATTCTGTTTCAAAATGGTAACCAATAATTGTATATGACTATTTAAATTTAAGTAAAAAATTAGTTTCACAGGCACACTGACCACATTTCAAGTGCCCAATTGCAACATGTGGTTAGTGGCTATGGCATCGGACAGCATGTACAAAATACTCCCATCACCAAAAATGTTCTGTGAACAGCGCTGGTTTACATAGAATGATTTAGAATGATCTAGCAACCATATGGCTCAGTAAAGTGGCTTTAAACCTTGTACAACAAGCAGTCAGTCTCCCCCAGGTCACAAGGGGTATAGGGAAAAAGATTTTTAAAGGGGAATTAGGTTTTGGGGAAAAATTATAAAAGAACAGTAAGATTGACACTAAAAGTAACTAAACAAGGTCGAGACAAGCTTGACGCTGGTTTGATAATATTTCAGTGGTATTTTTAACCTCCCTATGGGTCTTCTCCCAGCTAGAGTCTTTTCAGATCCGGCTGTTTTTCTGAAATCTACTTCAGAATCCCTTTCTTATGTTTCTTAGTCACTGAAAAGGAATAAAAGCATCAGGATAGAGTTGCCCAATAATCACAAGATCTGAACAGGAATTCAAATCCAACAATAAACAATCATTTCTTCTTTTCAATGTCTAAACAAAAGAAAACCCAACACAACAACAAAAGCCCTCAAGCATCCCTGAGTGAGGTGGCAGAGGGGAGGGGGCTGAGGCACCCCCCCATCCCTGCAATGAGCGTTTAGAACAAGAGCACACTGCAGGCGCCCCCAACATACAAATGGGGCACTTCATCTCTTCCTCAGAATAGTCGTGCCTCTATGAACAGGAAGTTTCCTCAGATTTTCTGTGAGATTTTGAATGTACATCAGAGATAGAAACTGAAAACCCTCGAGCAGACAAGATTTGAGTCTCCTCTTCATTTCCTCCCTGACTGCCATGTCACTCACACATCCCTGCTCGGTGTAACCACAACCCGAACATTGCATTGAGCCAAGGTTTTCCTTTAGAACATATTTAGAGACTTGAAGTCAAAGGCAAAATAAAACAACTTCCTAGAGGAATCATGTCTACATACACAGCCACAACCACTGCTCTCCCCAGAAGCCAGGCCTTTAGTTTTGCTTAACCTCAACTTTTTCACGGTTCATGTTTCAACCAAGGGATTGCAACACCACTGTGTACTTTATTAAAGATGCAGCCCCTACATAGCACATTTCCAGTAAGATAAAATATTTAGTAGCATGATTTCTAGACAATAAATTTTCCACAGTATGACTTATAGCTGGCTCATCAGCCACAAAAGCTGAATAATAATCAAAGCTAACCTCCATATTTCTAAAAGGAAGAGACTGGTGTTTCCAATCTTAATTCTTGCCTGACATTGGTTAAAGAGGTGCTAATACCCCACATTTTACAGTGCCATCAATATTGCAAATAAATGCACAACACAATGAAAATATTTATGTGTGGTACTATCCAGAAAGATATAGTTAGGAAAAATATGGTAAAGTAGAAGTAACCTTGACAAATTAGGCTTCATTGAAATACTTCCCAGGCCTTGCCCAGAAACATATATAATTCACAGAGCCTAGCACCAAATACAAATGAAGAGCATTTATTATTATTCCATTCCTCTTCTATTTTTTTTTCTTTTGGCCATAGCATTATTCTTTCATAATGAAACTCATTGTGAACCACTTTCTGTGCTCTCTTGTGCCATAACCTACAAGTTATAAATGTCTAATTCATCTTTATGCAACTACGCCCAAGGATGGGGTGTTTGTGTGCTTGCGTGTGTGTGTGTGGTGTGTGTGTGTGTGTGTGTGTGTGTGTGTGTTTGGAAGCAGTCCACGGGACCCTTGCAACACAAATCATCATCAGATCATATATGATAAATCAATGTTTGGAAAGTTAATGTCACCTAAAAATTCAAAATGGCTGACCAATCCATTATTTAAAACATGTAGCCATATGACAAGTGTCCTTTACCTGAGAGGAGAAATTATTTAATCAGTGAAAATTTTAGTTCCATTTTCAAAGCTTAAGAGAGTTTCTTCTTTAGAAAAGTAAGTGAGAAAATGTATGGATAGAACAGAAATCAATGAACTTGGACCTTGTCCTAAAGTCCTCTCATTAAAAACCAGAATGCTTTATTCAGCTAAGTCAACTTCAAAAAAGAAGGAAATGAATCGTCTGACCTGACTGACATCTTAAAAGGCAGTTGGTCTGTTCGTTTTAAATAGTAGCTGATGTTCCAATCTCTTTAATTTGTATAACTATTAATGTTGGTATAACTGAATTTTTCTTATCCTTTAATTTAATATATATATATATATATATATATATACACATATATATATAATCTTCAATGAAATGAGAAAGTCTTCAATGAAATGAGAAAAAACAGATTATAAAGAATGGAGGGGATGATTAGATGAAGGAGGGTTAATATATGAAGATAGAAGAGAAGAGGACACAGAGACATAGTTGGAAAGTCATGTGATATATGAACTCCTCTGCACTACCATCTATGAGGGAAACAAAGAGAGATAATCATCCTTTCAGACTCTGCATGAGACATTGGAATGGAGTAAAACTTAGATGTGAGTTTGAGCCCCAGCTTTCCCCTTTTTCAGCAGTGTCTTGTCAGGTTATAGAAGCTCACAGAGAATCATTTCTCCCAATTATTAAAGATAAAATAATCTTATAAGGATGCCTTGAGGATTAAATGAAGCAACCTCTGTAGGGTGTCTGCCACCTGGTAGAAATGTCATAAACGTCAGTTTTCATCCTTATTTAATTAAAGATGCTTAACTTGTCCTATGATGCTATGTGAAAATTTCTCTTGGCTCCGTTTCTAAGAACGGAACCACGAAGGCATAACGTGTGTGTGTGTGTGTGTGTGTGTGTGTGTGTGTGTGTGTGTGTGAATAGGTGTACCATCCCTGCACAGGGGCTGAGCTAATCTTCTCTGCATCATTCCAGTTTTGGAATGCGTGCTGCCAAAGCGAACACTGCACAAGTGTGTCCTTAGTGCTTAATCCAGTTAAGTTCTGCTGGTTTACTCGCTGTGTTGCTTTGCGCCAGACTTTATGCCCAAAAAAGTACACAGGACTTCCTGGTTTCCCTCATCCTCCTGAATGCTTTGCTTGAGTTACCTCATTCAATCTGCATGACAACTCTAATTCAAAACAGAGTATTCTTCTCTCCAACTTGCAAGTAAGAAAATTAGGGCATAGAGAACTAAATAACCTGCCCAATTTCACAGCTTACAGTGATGAAGACAGGTGGTCTGTTTCCAAGCTTTCTTTTCGTTGTCATATGTGAAACCTTTGCCCTCCTTGGCCCTATGCAAGAAAGGTAGCCTGAACCAGTGCTCTGATTCACAACCTCTACTCCAAATCCTTCTACTCCATATTTTCTTAACAGAAACTGGTACACTAGATGCACAGGGGATTGCCCATGAAAGTTGGAGAAGAAACTCCATGATTCTTGGCAAAGCAAAATTTTAAACAAAGAGGATATATATTTAATTCAACTCAAGAACACAAACACCCTGTGAGCACCCCACTTTGGCCAGATGATTTCTAGATGAAACACTGCATGGCAATTCAACTGAGTAAGAGTTTTTGTCCTGAAGGAACAAAACCTACCTTCCTAGAAATCAGGAATGTAAACAAATATTTAGTCAGCCCCTTCCACCCCCAAAATGCTGCCAACACTTTCTCTAATGTCTCTGCAGATAGAATCTGGTTCTTAAAGTCATTAAATAAAGGAGAGTTGCCATTTGGGGAGATTCCAGGAAGGACTGGTAAGATGAAAAGCCCCCCCCTTGACAACCTACTTTTCTCTCTTCGCAGGCCATAAGAGGGTGTATTGTCTGCAGAGAATTTAAAGGGAGTAATAAAATCAATTTAAAGAAAGTCAGGCTTTTCTTATTAACACCATGCACTAGCAATTCCAAACAACGTTAGTGATAAATTATTCAGTATCCATCCATTGGGGCAAACCTACCTTTATGTCACTTGTTCTAAGAAATTGCTACATTTCAAAGGTGGAAGCTAAAATCTGACTTTGGAGAGCTGTTCCTTAGATCCTTGTTCAGCACTTAAATGTAGAGTTTTATTCATTAGTAACACAAGTATTGACCCATTGTTCTTGGGCAATCCTTCAGTTGGGGAAAAAAAGTTAATGCATTCCACTTCATAGTATAAAAACTAACTTCACTGGGAGAGGTATATAATTCTACAGAGATTATTCCATGAATTGTTTTTTTTGCTTCCTCCATTTGGAATGGGATATAGGGAGAAAATAGAGAAAGAAGGTTCTCCAGTAGAGGATGGATAAGCTATTGGCAGGCCCAGGTAAATTGCTAGTAAGGGGCATAGAAAACAGACTCCAAGAACTATGGTGTCAGATATCTGTATTTAAAGTTTCCTACTCCATTCTATAGGAAAGTTTTGTCAAAACACTGTAGTCTATTGTTATTTGCACTTTGAGGAATTACAGAAGGGATCCATGTCCACACAGAGATGAGAGGGGTAGACAAATACCTTCAAGAGCATGGGGTAGCAATTTGAGATGATAAAAGGATATCAGCAGAGAAATCCAGAGAAATCTGGGGTGAAATGTGTCTAGGGACAAGAAGAATAAATGTGGGAAATGGACTAGCCTGAGACTCACAAGTATATGCCTGGGGGGACTGTGGCAAAAACATAAACTATTAAAGGTTGAGTGGATCCTTGAAGAGTTCATGTCTCGCTAAAAGTCTGACCAATACTCACTACTAGACAATTGTTTTCCTATGTATAAAAGTATCTAGATCTACAACCATGCTCAGGGAATTCCAAAATTTGAGTTTATATAAGAAATTACTCATTTCTTAAAAGCTGCAGAATAATGGAAAAATAGTATCCTGCCTCATTACAACTGCTGATTCTCGTGCCTTAGAAATTTTCAAAATTGCCCAAGGCTCACAGGAGGTGGATTTGCCATACACATGAAGAGAACATGGATTATTATTGTATGATAAAGAAAAGGATGATCCATGAAAAGCAGAGCTTGAAGATATTAATAACTATGAAGCAAGGAGGACCATGCTGAGTACTATAAGGACACTGTAACAGGTTATTATAAAAGATTCCATGGACAAAGGGAACTTGAACTGGTTCTTATTAATAGTTATCAACAGAGAGAGCTGATAGGGAGAAGCTGAAAAGAAAGGAAAGGGAAGGGAAGGGAAGGGAGGGAAGGGAAGGGAATGGAAAAGAAATGCAGTTACAGATTTTTAAAAATCTAATGTGTTTGGAGAATGATAGTCACACAGATTCAGAAAGTATAAGAAAGAGGAGGACATATGGCTAGAAAGGTAAGTACAGGCAGTCACACCACAGGCCTTAGAGGACAATTTGAGTGATTTTGAACCATATTTGGTATGCATGTGGAACCCGTAAAGAATTTTAAAGCTTATTTACTATAAATTTATTCATTTATTGTGCATCTAGATTTTCCAAGAACATTATCAATAATGGCAAATCCCTAGAATAATTTTCCAAAGGATGCCATAGTACTGGCATTTTCTGTCAAACTTAAAACAACAAAAGAAAGTTATGATTAACTAAAATAACCTTACCTGCTGCATGAATGATGGTCATGGTTCCAGCAAATACACAAGATAACGTAAAAATACTTTTACTAAGCAAAGGAGAAAAAAACTACACTTAAATCTAAGGGGGGGAAAAAGTGTTGCCCTATAGCTACTGGGCATATTTTGTCGCAAACATGAACCGTTTATGGACCCCAAATGCCTCACACTGTTTTCCAGAGTCCCCAACGTCCAATGTTTTTCCTGCAGTGCAACATATGTAAGCTGCTTAAATCAGCTTCTGACATCGCTTCAACTTCAAACTGGAGGCTATGTGAGGCTTAGCAGATGGTGAAACCCATCCAGTTCTCTAAGTGTGTGTTCAGCATAAGGTGCTCGTATGTTCTCTTGGACCCAGCTAGGCTGAAATCTTCCCTTAGAGAAAAAAAATACATGGTGTTCAATTTGATGGTGAGGAGTCAGAACTCCAGCCACTTGAGCTATGTTTTGCTTTTTTTTCTTTCACAAAGGTGAAGAGCACAGTCACAGTGGCTTACCTGCCTCTTAACCAGGCTTAGGAAAACTAAAAGCCGATTAATTGCCTCCTGACTGTGGTTAAATTTAAGTCTGGGTAATTCAAGATTCTTTAATCCTTCCAGAAATTTAAAATTCTCTTCCTTCCTTCAAGTCTTCATTTTTAGATTCCTCCACATGAAGTCCAGATCTGAAAAAAAATCAACAGTAAAGACACTCTCGGTAATAAGAAGGAGGTACTGATACTTACATCCAGGATATAAAAAGAAAACAAACAAACAAACAAAAGCACTAAAGAGTCAAGCATCCCGATTTACTGCAGAAAAATTATAAATTCCCCAATCTGACATTCAGGGCTTTCCACAGTCTGCCCCAGCTCGTCATCTGTCCAGACCTATCTCTGTGTGTCTGCTACAACCATTCAAACTGGAGTGGTCCTTATTTTTCTCACATCGTGTTGCCTCACCTTGGTCCCCTTGAATAATCTGGTCCTTTTTCCAGAAAGGACTTCTCTCTCTACCAACCACAGCCTATCTTTATGATTCGGGCAAGGCTAGAAAACAGGGTCCATGATGGAGGTGGGTTGGTGGAAAGAGGAAGGGAATGGTGAGGAGAGAATTGGAAATGGAAGCCAGGGGCTAAAGGTCATGCGTCTTTTACTAGGGAACTTGAACTTCATCCCCCTCGGCCACTGTTTCATAAAGTGTCAGTAGACCATGTGCAACTAAACCACCTGGGGGCCTTTTTAAAAAGACATATTCTCGGGGCACCTGGGTGGCTCAGTTGGTTAAGCAGCTGCCTTCAGCTCAGGTCATGATCCTGGAGTCCCAGGATCGAGTCCCACATCGGGCTCCCAGCTCCTTGGGGTGTCTGCTTCTCCCTCTGACTTTCTCCCCTCTCATGCTTTCTCTCTCAAATAAATAAATAAAATCTTTAAAAAAAAAAAAAAAAGACATATTCTCAGATCCAGATATCCTAGTTAATATTTCTGGGTAGGAGGCCCAGGACTGGCTTTTCAATAAACCAATTAGGTGTAGGTGATGAATTAAGCTTAGGTAATTCTTTTACACGTGAAAGTCTGAATGCTAAAGACATCGAATAACTACAAGTCTAAGAAAGCAAATAGACCTGTGTGCTAGGAGAGAGCATTTGAACGACAGAATGAAGCTAGAGAGCATGGAGGAAGCGACTAGGGGCAGAGAGACCAGTTAGGAATTAATTGCAGTGGTCACTATTAACCTCTCTCTTCTGAAACCTTCCTCCTTCCTGGCTTTTGTGGCGTGACTTCCTCCTGACGACCTTGCTGCCTCTGCATCCACACTTACGAATCTTTCGTGCTTGTCCTCTCATTGTGGCATCCCCATGAGTGTTCACATTCTCTCAGGTTCTGTATGAAATCCACTTCTCACCCAGCGTTTTGTTACTATCTCATTGTTCCCTTAGCTTCAAAAACCACATTTACACTGAGGCCCCCCACATTTATATGTCAGGACAGCAGATCTCGATTTCCAACGACCGAGATGTTCTGCCTACTATTTCACAGGCATGTCCAAAATTGACACTCTTCCCTATCTCTATACCTACTTCTCTTTTGTTAGTACCTATCCTACATAGAGAGGGATAGAAAATTTCACCCAGACACCTGAGCATCTCACCTAAATCCTGTCCTGTCCTTCATGCCACTCTCACACTCTTTGCTTTTTGCCCTATTTCCTACTAACAATTATCTCTTCCATCCATACCTTTCTCTACATCTCCACCCCATACCTTTGGTTTAGACTTCAAATCCTGAGAAGAATCCTAGAACTCAACACTTCCCAAGCCAAAAAAATAAATAAATAAAGGCCAAATATCACATGCATGATAGCATGATAGAGAAACCCTGGGAAAATACCTC